GACTCCTGTCGTAGCCCAACTTGACCATATAGCTGTCAAACCTCTTGTACCACTGTCTAGGAGACTGCTTAAGTCCATAAAGTGACTTCCTCAACTTGCAAACATGATCTTCCTTACCAGGAACCAGAAAACCCTCAGGTTGAGTCATATAGATCTCCTCCTCAAGTTCTCCATGAAGAAAAGCAGTCTTCACATCAAGTTGCTCCAACTCCAGATCCTGACGTGCCACTATCCCCAATAGCACTCTGATAGAAGTGTGTCTGACCACATGTGAGAAGATCTCATTGTAGTCCACGCCTTCTCTTTGACTGAAACCTCTAGCAACAACTCGACATTTGTACTTTGGTCCTTCTTCTGGTGATTGACCATCTTTTAACTTGTAAATCCACTTGCAAGTCACAACCTTTCTCCCATGTGGTAGTGTGACCAGATCCCATGTGTGATTCTTTTCATGAGATTCCATCTCATCNCAACAACTCGACATTTGTACTTTGGTCCTTCTTCTGGTGATTGACCATCTTTTAACTTGTAAATCCACTTGCAAGTCACAACCTTTCTCCCATGTGGTAGTGTGACCAGATCCCATGTGTGATTCTTTTCATGAGATTCCATCTCATCTCCCATTGCAGCAAACCATTTCTCAGATGCATAACTTGAGATGGCTTCTCTGTAAGTAGACGGCTCGTAAGTGTCCACTTCCTCTGCAACTTGTAGTGCATAACCCACCATATCTTCAAACCGATATTTCGCTGGTGGCCTGACATCAACTCTCCTTGGTCTATCTTTAGCAATACTGCATTTTTCAGACCCAACAAGTTGACTCTCAGAATTAGACGTCTCTGGCTGCTCGTTTGTCAACGATCGATCGATCTTTTCTTCCGATGTCGATCGATCATGACCATCCGACATTGATCTACACTGAACGGCCAACGTCGATCGACACTGTTGATTCGTCATCGACCGACATGGTTCATCCGACTGCACTTCCTGCAGCTCCACCTGCTTGTCAAAATCCTCCTGCTCTGCTTCTGAAAGAGACTCAGCTGAAACTTTGATCATAGAACTCTCATCAAACACAACATTCCTGCTCATGATCACTCGCTTCTCATAAGGAGGCCAAACTCTGTATCCCTTGACACCATCTCTATAGCCCATAAGCACTCCCTTCTTAGCTCTTGGTTCCAGCTTTCCTTCATCAACATGATAGTAAACTGTGCAACCAAAGACTCTCAGAATAGAGTAATCAGCAGACCTACCTGACCACACCTCATTAGGTATTCGACACTCGATCCCAGCATGTGGTCCCAGATTGATCAAATAACAAGCTGTGAAACCTCAGTATGTGGTCCCAGATTGGTCCTCAGCCCAAAACCTCTTCTCTAAACCAGCATTTGAAAGCATGCACCTCGCTCTCTCCAGCAATGTCTGGTTCATTCTCTCTGCTACACCATTCTGATGTGGTGTATACCTTATTATATGATGCCTAGCAATTCATGCATCCTTACAAAACTGATTTGAACTCTGATGAACAGAATTCCAGACCATTATCAGTACGAAGCCTCTTAATCTTCTCCGTCTGATTCTCCACCAGTATCTTCCACTCCTTAAAGCTGTTGAAAGCTTCACTTTTATGTTTCATGAATGTTATCAAAGTCTTCCTCGGATAATCATTAATCATAGACACAAAATACATGTGACCTTTCAGCGACTCCACCTTGGAGGGATGATGTCTTGTGATTCTCATTGAATTAACTAACCATTTCTTATGCATTTTGGAGTCTAGGATTGCATAAAAGCATTATTAGGTTGCATATCCATTTGCATTTGTTTTCATTAGGTGATGGAGTACCTCAAGGAGATTATGAGGAGTTTGAAGTGGTTTTAGTTCAAGAAAGGCTAAAAAGTCAACCATCTCGCGAGAAGTGTCACAGCGGGTCTCCACAGCGACCAAAGGGGGGCCGCTCCAGATCTACCGCGCTTTGGAGCGGGTGTACAGAGCGACCCTTGGCCCCCGCTCTGGACTCGACAAATCCGAAGTACAAGCTAAGTCCTAGAGCGGGTGTGGCACAACGATCTCCTCTACCCGCGCCAGATCAACCGTGCAGTGGAGCGGGTGTCTGGAGCGACCAAAGGCCCCCGCTCTGGGCAGGACACATCCGAAGAGTAAATCGCGCAAGTGCCGGAGCGGGTACGCACAGCGGTTAGGAAGGCCCGCTCCACATTGAGCGCTCTTCAGAGCGGGGTTGCCCAGCGACCCCAAGACCCCGCTCCGTTAATGTTCACTGACGCATTTAATGTTTTATTTTGGCCTAATCAACCTGTTAGTTAAGCCCATTAGAGTTTTTAAATACCATATAAATACCCTTAAACATCATTTTGGGGGATCTTATCTTGATTTCTCTCTTAAACACTTGATATTTTGGGTGAAAAGTTTATTCCTTTAATCTAAGTTTCATCTTTTATCTTGTGTTCTTGAGATTTCTTAAGTGTTTCATTGCTTTCTAACCATGATTAACCTTAAATCCTTCATAGGTTTAAGTGTGATCATGGTGATTAGTGAGTAGTCACTTTTGGATTCATGGGTTAGGGAGATCAAAGGGTGATTAAGCTAGATCTAAGGTGTTTGAGTATAGATTCATCTTATTTCTTGCTTGTAGAGTGGATTTAATGCTATTTTAGAGTTGACCTCTCTAGAATTGAGTTTTAGGTATTTCAAGCCCATAAGGTGTTTGATGAAATACCTGAACCAACTCTCCAATGCTTTTAACATTCTTTACCAAAGAGATTTGTTGTTAAAGATGTTTGGATGGCTAGTAGACTTGATTTTAATGATTGTTTAGATAACATTCAACCTAAGAGATTAGATGCTTGAGTTATCTTTGCAAATGAACATTCATCTAGGGATAGAGTTTGTTTAGAACTGTGCCTAGGCCTAAGGTTGATAGATTGATTGAAAAGCTTACACCTTTAGATTGAACTTAATTACCCAAGATCAATTCCCTTTTCCCATGAGTTATATCTTCTCATTTTGAAAGAAAGCTTTGATATTTATTGCTTATTTTACTTTAAAAACCTTCTCAACATTGATAGCACTTAGACTAAGTTTTGCCTTGCAATTCCTTTGGTTTATGATTACTTAGAACTGGTTGGACATCTTTTATACTATAACATTTGATTAGGAATCTAAAAACTCCTATCATCAAGGGACCCCAACAATCTGAATGGATGTAATCCAGCGTGCCTTTTGTCTTGTGAACAACCTTAGGAAACTTCTTTCTATGTAGCTTCCCAAACACACAGTGCTCACAGAACTCAAGACTCTTGGTCTTATGACCACAAAGAAGATATATCTTCGATAAAATCTGCATCCCACGCTCACCCATATGTCCAAGGCTAATATGCCACAGCTTGTCCATATCTTCCTTGCGAACCCCTGGAGATGCAACATTTGCTGAACCTAAAGCTGTAGAGCCGTCCAGCAAATACAGAGTACCATGAAGGAAGCCTCTTAAAATCACAACTGAACCTCTGTAGACATTCAGAACTCCATCTCCACCTGAATACTTGAAACCTCTGATATCCAAAAGACTAACTGAGATCAAGTTCTTGGACATAGACGGAACATGTCTAACTCCAATCAATGTACAGATTCTACCCTCATGTGTCATGAGCTTAATGGAACCGATTCCTGCAATATCGCAAGCAAAGTCATTCGCCATCTTGATCTTGCCATCAATCACTTCCTCGTACTCTGAGAACCATTCCCTCCTTGGACACATATGATAGGATGCGCCAGTGTCAAGGACCCACACATCTCTAGGATGTGATTTTTCATGAGCATCCAGCGCAATATCGTTATCTGACTTAGCTTCATCCTTGGCTGCCGGAGCGGAACCAGCTTGCTTCTTCTTCTTAGGACCATCCGATTTCCAATGCCCTCTCTCTTTGCAGTAATTGCAAATATCAGTTGGTTTAGGACCCTTTGAAAATGACTTTTTGTCTTTCGACCTTTTGCCTTTTCCAAAGTTCTTTCCACCACCTACAAACAACCCAGAAGCTTGGTCATCTGTACCAGAACTAGATGTTTTGTGTCGCAACTCCCTGCTGTGAAGTGCCGACCTGACTTCCTCCAAACTCACTGTATCCTTACTCCCTATGAATGATTGAACAAAGTTCTCATAGGAGTTAGGCAATGATACCAACAGAATCAGTGATGCATCCTCATCCTCCACCTTAACGTCTATATTCCTCAGATCTAACATAATAGAATTTAGACTATCAAGATGATCCTGAAGTTGTGTACCTTCATGCATCCTCAGAGCAAAGAGACGTTGTTTCAGAAGCAGTTTCTTAGTCAGAGACTTCGTCATGTATAGACCCTCCAACTTAGACCACAAAACAGCTGTAGTATCAGCACCATAAACTTCGATGATGATCTCATCTTCCAGACACAACAAAATCGTTAAATACGCATTCTCTTCAGTAACCTCCATCTCAGCTGTAACAGGTTCAACCTTCTTCCCTGACAACGGTGCCCAAAGATCTTGTTGCTTCAGCAACGCCTTCATCTTGATTTGCCAGAGACTAAAACTGTTCCTTCCAGTAAACTTGTCGATCTTCATGTTCATCCCAGACATCTTCTCACCAGATTCAACCCAAAGCTCTGATACCAGTTTGTTCTGACGGACGTGAGAAGAAACAGATTAACAGAATAGATGAACAGAAAAGAAAGACATAGAGATTTAACGTGGTTCGCCCCTAACGACTACGTCCACGGGAAAAGATAGTATTTTATTTATGGAGGAGTTACAGAGATCTGTCTACAGGAAGACCAGGTCTAATTTCTCTCTAATACGGCTGCTAATTATGTTTAGAGGAGGCTCACAATATATATAGTTGTGTCCTAGAAAACCCTAGCTCAAATGGACATCAAACACTAAAACCCAACATAATCAAGGCATTATTCAACATCCCCGGATATGAAATTTTCAAACGAGTCTATGGATCTGATATTCTCGAACTGGCTGTTGATGTATCTCTCTGACAAAGAGGTAACCAATTAACTTTTACATTATTATTATTACCACAAGTTTTTTTATTGGTAAATATCTGCTAGCATTTCCAAATGTCATTTAGACATTTTACATGTAGTAAACGCATGTTCGGACCATTAAGTTATACAAAGACAATATGGTATAGTTGCCAATATTTCTTGGCCTACCGAATGATAAAGCTACACCATAAATCATCTTAGCTTCACTCAGCTGCGTGACATGCGCTAGAGACATTAAACATTTGTCCATATTTTAATACTAAGATGGGATTTAATATTCTAATAGGCGGGCATTCATATCCTTCAAAAAAAATGAAGGTCTTTTCATCAAATTTCAGGTCGAAGATTTGGCGAAAAAGTTGTTACAATGGACTAAGGTGGGCGGGTACATTTTCTTTAGGGAGCTTTTTTTCATCAGTCTGGTGACAACAAGCGGAAGAACAACCCAACGCACTACCGTGAACCCAAATTTTACACAAAGGTGTGTTATATACCTCTATATCCCTATATTCTTACCTTTCTAGAGAATTAAATTTTATATTTTTTCAGCTTTTCAAAGAATGCCATATGAATGATGATGATGGCAATTCGTATGAATTCTCTTTGGTTAGCTGTAAATGTGTTAGAGCTTATGTGAGAAACAAAAAGAACCAGAACCAAGTAATATATATACATGCTTCTTCATATATCTAGCCACTTTTTATGGTATGTGATATTCATATATTATACTTTCTCCACAAATTTCAGATCTGCTGGCTTTGGCAGAAAGTCAGCTCGGATAATGACAGGGGCTTCCAACGCTTCTTGGACAATGTCCAGTATAAGTCTAGTGGTATCTTACGCTATGAGCGTGTCTTTGGACAAGGGTTTGTGAGCACAGGGGGACTCGGTATGCTCCTTAGTCATCGAGTTTTGTATCAACTTTGTAGTGTTGACGTCTTGATGAACTTAATGGCTAGCCAAAATGTATGGCCAAATTTTGTCAACGGCTTACTAAGACAGTTATACAAAACATCTTTCGTATAACTATAACTGAAGCTATCTACTAGCCATTTTTACTATACTACAAAGTGAAGCTATCTTTCCCTCATATTATACTAATTTTCTTTTGTTTTGATATTTGATATAGAGACCACAAAGGAGTTTGTGTCTAAGCTGGATCTGAAGCCAGGCCAGAAAGTTCTTGATGTTGGATGCGGAATCGGAGGAGGGGACTTCTATATGGCTGAGAACTTTGACGTAGATGTTATAGGCATTGATCTATCTGTAAACATGATCTCTTTTGCCCTCGAACACTCAATAGGACTCAAATGCTCTGTTGAGTTTGAAGTAGCTGATTGCACCAAGAAGGAGTATCCTGATAACACCTTTGATGTTATTTACAGCAGAGACACCATTCTGCATATCCAAGTATAAGCTTCTCCATCGTTTAGTTTAGTTTCCGGACATTGCTTTCTTGTTTTGTCTCCAATTTGTAGTTGCTGGTCTTACTCTTAGGACAAGCCAGCATTGTTCAGGACATTCTACAAGTGGTTGAAGCCTGGAGGGAAAGTTCTCATTACTGATTACTGTAGAAGCCCCAAAACACCATCTCCAGCTTTTGAAAACTACATCAAGCAACGTGGTTATGATCTTCATGATGTACAAGCATACGGTCAGGTATACAGAGATAGATCCATTCTCCTCTCTGCTACTTAAAAATCACAAAACTCGCCTAAACCTTACGTGGCTCCACAGATGCTGAAAGATGCTGGATTCGAGGAGGTAATCGCAGAGGATAGAACCGATCAGGTAAAAAACGTTTCTCTACATGAATTTCTGAAAATGGCCCACATGCTTAAAAAATCAAAGTACTTGAAACTATTAATGTCTCTGTTTGCTTTATCAGTTCATGAAAGTCCTGAAACGGGAACTGGACGCAGTGGAGAAGGAGAAGGATGACTTTTTCATCAGCGACTTCTCTAAGGAGGACTACGAGGATATCGTAGGTGGGTGGAACTCAAAGCTACTCAGGAGCTCAAGTGGTGAACAGAAGTGGGGCTTGTTCATCGCCAAGAAAAACTGATTGTATGGCATGCTTAAAAGTTTAAAACAAAACATAAATAAATTTGGTTATGTAATATACATTAAAACCAAGTTCCCTCCTATCATCTCTTCAAGCTATATATGTTGCTGCTTTTCTTTAATCATATATAATTATATAGTTTGGTGTTTAATGTTGTGTTATTTGATATCTGATTGATCAAGTTTGACACAGAAAAATGTTGATGTGTTTTGAATATGATGTGACCCAGTAAACATTAGTCAGGTGGAAATCCAGTCAAAGAGGATTTTAGGATGCAAAATATTGTTATATATCTTATGTTCTTTTGATCCTACTGAGTCACTGACTGTACTATGAAATATGAGAAATCACTTCCAATAATAAAACATCTCTTTACCCGTCGAAATTTGGTGAAAGACGTTAAACTTTTGTGTAGTTTGCTTTATCACTGTATTATATGTTTTTCATATTATTTTTTCGCATCTGTTATAAAAGAAGCTCGGACTCTTTATTATTGGACGGAAACAAAAACAGTGAAACAAAGTGATAGTAATTCACTTGGAGTTACTACCAACTATGAAGTATCTCCGGTTATGGTAGGGAAAATTAAACAACACACGTACGAGTCACGATTATCTCAATCCCTAGTTAGAGATGGAGTCGGTTCTAGAGAAGGCCAGGATCTCGACTTCAAATCTGATGGTATCCTTTACAAGGAAACCTTTGGATGGGTCTTTGATATCTGCGAGTGGTATAAGTTTGTCGACACCCCATCCATTTTCTTTTGCGTTTGGCCATCCACCCACTGTAGGGACAAATCAAAAGTTAGGTTAACATCTTTCGCATAAGCCTAATTTGTGTTTTATTTATTTCGGCACTAACCTTGTTTCTCTACATTGTTGGATGGGGTCTGGTTAATAACTCTAAACTTGGCTTTCACGTAGCCCTTTTCGTTTGACGCACTCAACAAGTAGAGTGACAAGGAATTACCCGTTGCAGACCCAACTCCATGTGGATACACTTTCAATACCCTAGACACATCAAATTAAGTTAATACATACTTTATATACACACATATATAAAATACATGTGACATATTTGTGTACAGACTCACCAGTTTCTTCCTCCGGAAGAAAACGTATCAGATGTGTAAGAAGCAATATTACGAATGTTTTCTTCATAAGAGACATCTTCCCATGTGGCAGATTGTTTAGAAACCACGATGTCAACACCAAACACACTCTGTCCGCCGTTGAAAATGAATCCATACGCCGGATTTTGGTAGTACCCGATCTCTAGAAAGGTTAGCATTCCATACTCTTGTTTAAACAAATGAAATCTTTGTGCCTCAGTCGCTGCATACCGATTAAACTAGTTACTTTTAAGTCTCAAGAAACCACAACCTATTACAACAAATATATTCCTAGATCAGTTAGTACCATGGAGCTCATGGTATGTGTCTGTAGTGCTTTTATAGGTGAGGAATTTGATCCATGCATACACTTCGTTTTGAGTAGCGATGAAGCTTGAATTGTCGACTTTTACGTAAAGGGAGACGTATCCACCCGAGCCCACTGGCTTGTTCACGTTTGGGTAGATTAGGAACGTCCTAATAACATATTAAGTAAAACGGGTCAAAAATATATTTGGCTATAAGACATATATAAATTGGATTTTGACGATATTTACAGCAATATGTTAAAATGTTTACATATCAGAAGTCTGGAGATGACTCGACACTAGTATATTTATGGCCCCACAAGGAGGACAAGAGATGTGATTGTCATAGGATCCAACCTCATGTTCTTTGTACAATAGAACCTTTATAAATTAATACTCGATAAATTAATATACACTAAATATCTCTATAAAATAATATAATTTTATAGTCCTAAATTGAACTTTTGGTTCAATTAGTATATCGATAAATTAATATCTCTCTAAATTAATAAAAAATAAAAAATTTGGTGTAGTTCTAATATTATTAATTTAGAGAGGTTTCATTGTATTCTATATATATACTAAACATTGTTTGACAAAAAAAAACTAAACATCAAAATGCTAAAACAAGATTGAAAATAATCGAAAATATTATATATTTTTTTCTATTATAAGTTTGCAATAATATAACTCAAACTTAAAAAATAAAAAATAGCAAAAGCTTTAATATTCATAGTCCAAATTTTGTGTGTTAAGTTCCATAAAATATAATAAATTAAGAATGCATGTACGTACCAATTGTATCCACCGGCTGAGAAAGGACGTGACTCGTACTTGTCACCGTTGCCTGTGACCAGTTTGGACATAGTGGCAAATGACTCGAACTTCACACAATACGAAATTGGAGGACGAGTTCTCGTCTCTTCCCTCACTGTTGTCGATAGCTTCTGATGATTCCGAGCAGCATCGGAGACAGAGCTCCTGAAGTTACATGGAAGTATCCCCACGTCGAACAATCCTGCTTCTATTACTGCTTCTGTCTCCATTAGGTTTTGAAGGTTGTAATAAGGTTTTGCAAATCTTACTACTCCTACAACCAAAACAAAACAGAAGAAGCAGTAGGCTAAGACCATGTTTATTGTAGTAGCTTAAATGGGTTCCTTAGAGTATTTTGTAATTAAAAGAAAAGAAAAAATGAAAAAAAGTGAAGGGATGTACCTTCATTAAGCTCCAGAAGTAACGTTCCTTCTATCTCTCTCCATTGCTTTTTCATGTTTTGTTTCTATCTCTCTCTCTTTCTGTTTCTCTTCTCTCTTGCCATTTAATTTTCCTTTCATTATGGCCCACTTAAGAAATCTTTAAACCATTTTAGCAATAAACATGCTCTAAGATCAAACCTCCAAAAAATTAACACATGGCTCCTTAGACGAGATAGGGCCCATAAACGGTCAGGCCGTTACAAATGATATGAGAGTTGGTTAGCCATCTTTGTTCTAACCTGAAAGACGTATTAAGATACGTTATGGTGCACAAGGGAGCCCGATTTCAGGTATATATGAAAAGACAAAGATAATTTATTTAACTACCTATATTACCTTGGCTCGACAGATGCTGGATTCGAGGAGGTAGTCGCAGAGGATAGAACCGATCAGGTAAGAAACGCTTCTCTACATAAACTTCTGAAAATGACACACATGCTTAAAAACCAAAGTACTTGAAACTATAAATGTTTCTGTTTGCTTAATCAGTTCATGAAAGTCCTGAAACGTGAACTGGACGCAGTGGAGAAAGGAGAAGGACTTCATCAGCGACTTCTCTAAGGAGGACTACGAGGACATCGTAGATGGGTGAAACTCAAAGCTACTCAGGAGCTCAAGTGGTGAACAGAAGTGGGGCTTGTTCATCACCAAGAAAAACTGATTGAATGCCATGCTTAAAAGTTTTTAAAAAAAAAACATAAATAAATTTGGTTATGTAAGATACATCAAGTTCCCGCATATCATCTCTTCAGACTATATATATGTTGATTTATCCCGCTCCATGTGAGCTTTTCTTTAATCATATATGTATATATAGTTTGTGTTTTTTTTTTGTCAATATATAGTTTGTGTTTAATGTTGTGTTATTTGATATTTGATTGATCAAGTTTGACACAGACAAATGTTCATGTGTTTTTGGATATGATGTGACCCGGTAGCATTAGTCAGTTGGAAATGATCCTGTCAAAGAGGATTTTAGGATGCAAAACATTGTTGTATGTATCTTATGTTCTTTTAATCCTACTAATTGTACTATGATATATGAAATTCGCTCCAATAATAAAAAAGCCTTTGCCCCCAAGTAATTTGGTGAAAGACGTTCAATTTTTTTGTGTGGTTTGCTTTAGCAATATCACTGTATTCTATGTTTTCCGTATTATTTTGTCGCATCCGTCATAAAAAAGCTCGGACTCTTTATTATTGGACGGAAACAGAAACAGTGAAACAAAGTGCTACCAAGTATCTCCTGTTATGATAGGAAAAAACAACACACGTACGAGTTACGATTATCTTAAGCCTTAGTTAGAGATGGAGTCGGTTCTAGAGAAGGCCAGGATCTCGACTTCAAATCTGACGGTATCCTTGACGAGGAAACCTTTGGATGTATCTTTGAGATCTGCAAGAGGTATAAGTTTGTCGACACCCCATCCATTTTCTTGCGCATTTGGCCATCCCTCAACTGTAGAGACGACAAATCAAAACTTAGTTTAACATCTTTCAAATAAGCCTATTTAGTTTCTATTTTATTGTTCGACTCTAACCTTGTTTCTCCACATTGTTGGCTGGAGTTTGGTTAATAACTCTAAACTTGGCTTTCACGTAACCCTTCTGGTTCGACGCACTCAGCAAGTATAGTGACAACGAATTACCAGTAGCAGACCCAACTCCATTTGGATACACTTTCAATATCCTACACACACACATCACATAAATTAATACATACTTTATACATTTAATTAATCGATCATATAAGTTAATTAATACATTCTGTACTAAATATAATACATCACATAGGTTAATAAATAGTAAATACTATATATATATGTGTGTTGTCCTAAATATATATATATATATATGTGGAGCGAGTCACCAGTTTCTTCCTCCGGAAGAAAACGTATCAGAAGTGTAAGAGACTTGATCGCCGGCAGAGAATTTGGTGATTCTCCATTCGAGAATAGGGTCACGGATGTTTTCTTCATAAGAGGCATCTTCCCATGCAGAGGGTTTAGAAACCACGATGTCAACGCCAAACGCACACTGTTCGCCGTTGAAAAGGTATCCATATCCCGTAGTTGTGTAATACCCGATAGGACGAAACTCTAGCACTCCGTACTGTTGTTTAAACAAATGAAATCTCTGTGCCTCAGTCGCTGCAAAACGATCAAAACAGGTTAAGAAAACACACAAAAGATTAAAACTAATGTATCACCCTCTCTCTCTAGGTAAAGTAGTACGTACCATGGAACTCATAGTACGTGTCTTTATCGCTTTTATAGGTGAGGAATTTGATCCACGCATACACTTCGTTTTGATAGGTAATGAGACTTGAATTGTCGATTTTTACGTAAAGCGAAATGTATGAATTCTTGCCCTCTGGCTTGTTAGCGTTTGGGTAGATGAGTAACGTCCTTGTAACATATTAAGCAGAACGGGTCAAGTTATATATAGTTAAAACTTAAAACATATTCAATTAGATTGTGAAGAGATTTGCAGAAACGTGTTAAATTAAAATGTCACACATGATGTAAGGGTGACGATTCTCAGCTTATTAAACCACACCCAACGTGTACTTACCAATTGTATCCACCAGCTGAGAAAGGACGTGACTCGTACTTGCCACCGTTGTTTTTGACCATGTTGGTGAGATTGGAAAATGATTCAAACTGCATACAGTAGGAAAGTGGAGGACGAGTTCTCGTCTCTTCACTTACTGTTTGCGAGAGCTTGTGGTGATTCCGAGCAGGGACAGAGCTCCTCAACTCACATGGAAGTAGTCCTGATTTTCCCATGTCCAACAATCTTTCTTCTATTACTGCTTCTGTCTCCATTAGGTTTTGAAGGTTGTAATAAGGTTTTGCAAATCTTACTACTCCTACAACCAAAACAAAACAGCTGAAGCAGTAAACAAATACCGATCCATAGTTGGTATTTTTCTTCTTTTCTTCGGTAAACATTTTTCTTTTCTTTTTGTAGTGTATCTGTAACGGTTTCTGTGTTGTGTTATATATAGACATAGTTATTGTACTTACTCTCCATTAATTTTTGTCACGAATTCACACGTTTGTAGTATTTTATTGCCAAACACTATCAAATCGTGGAAGATCCTTGTGTATCCCCGAGTAGTTGGGCCGTACTCTCCTTTTTTTTTTCAAAGTTCGATCCACTTATAGATGCGGTTTCCGCGCTGAAACATATTCATATAATAATATTAACACCAAAAAACGTTCTTACAACCCAAGCTGAACAACCAAAAGAGTCAACTATTGATTAGTGCAACATATTTGCTTATCATTCGATACCAAGAAGTTGAGACCACAAATATCCAAGACAAAGATACAAAAACTTAACATAACAGACTAAGAAAAGGAGCCAAATAGGAGACATGCGCTAGAGACATTTTTTGGTGACCCTTTCATATATGACCCTTTCAGCAACGAAGACACAAAGACAAGATAACAGACTAAGAAAAAACGGAAGCTCTGTCCACCTCAAACAAGAAATGAAGCCAACTAGGAGACCCTCTCACCACATAATATATCCAATTCTGACCCTCTGAGCAATGAAGTTGACAAGACCATATTAGAGGAAACAAACTCAAGAAACATCTTCCATTCGGGGATAGATTTTTCTTTTTTGTCATCTATGAATTTCATTAACTTAAACTGAAGTACAATGGAACACACCATTGGTCATGATGAGGCTTGAGTTTATAAGATATGGATCCTAGCTTAACGGAAATGCATCCATTCACGTTTTCTTGTTTGTTTCCATTCAAGTTAGACAGACAATTTTAGAGCATTTTCATTGCAAGCATCACACTATTTTTTTTATAAATATTAAAACAAGAATAGTAATATAATAGTAATGGAACAATTGCAATTTGTATATAGCATCTTAGTAGTTAAAACAAAGACCTGAATAAGTTTGGTTTATCAGTCAAAAAGAAAAGTTTGGTTTTGAAAGATAACATCAAAACCCAATTCACTTCTATCATCTCTTCAAGCTACACGTTTTGGTTACTAGTGGCGAATGTATAAATCTATTTTTATGGGGGAAATCATATATAAACATAGAAATATGGCTAAGATATAATATTTAGTAAGAGAAAATAACTAAAATTTGAGGTATATTATGCAAATTTTGAAACTTTTATGGTGGCACTTGGTACTTTTTTTGGCTTACCTAGGTTCGCCACTGTTGGTTTCTACCTCTCATCTTTTCTTTAATCATTTACTTTCACTCAATCGAATATTTATTTTAATATAATAAAATATATAATTTTTATATCACAAGAATATAATAATTGCACATATATACATCTATTTGGATGTTTATTTTCGATTTATTGTATATAACATTTATGATAGATCGACAATTTTTAACGGTCTGAAATTTGTTAGTTGTTCATATTGTGGTTGATACTAAACAAATGATAAATCTTTGCAGTTAGTAATTTTTAAGTACATTAAAAAATTTGATGATTTCATTTAGAAATTAACATATTAATGATTATGTTTATATATTTTAATAATTTTATCCTTCCAAAATTAAATCTTTTATGTCAAAACAGATTTTCTTTATGTTTTAATAAAATAAATAGATATTTCTTTAATTTCTTATAAACTAAATAAACTTTTCTTCTATTTTTATTTTGAATAAATATTAAATTAAGTTAAATTTTTGTATTTTTTATAATTTAGATATATGTGTTAATAATATTTTTTCGTCAAAATATTTAACGTATATTTGAAAAATAACTTTATATATTTTACTAAAAAAATTCTAGTTTATATTTTGTATATGAAATAAAATAATAATACACATGAATATATAATATTGAAATTTTTTATTTTATATTTTAAATAAATATGTTCAATTTTATTGTAAACATTGATTACATAGTATTCTGGTTAGAAAATAATGGTAAGTTTGTTAGAAAATAATTTAAGAAAATAAATGATTAAAGTTATAATTTTGTTCACATAAATCTATGTCTTTGAATCATGTGTTTGCTTATGTAATTTTCACTGATTAAAAATAAAATTAAAAAATAGTAGAACAAATTAACCGGACATTTAACCATATACAAATCCAGTTATTTTACATTTTTTATTTATTTTATAATTGGCACAAATTTAATATTGATTAACTAACAAAAAATCGACATTATTATTTGGTAATATAATTAATGATGTGATGTGTTGTTATGGTAATCTATATAATAATAGTACACTTTTGAAGCTCCTCAGCGTGTCCACGTCAGCAAGTTTGCGGGTCCCGCACATGTTATTAGGGAAAACAAAAATGTATAAGATTTTGTAAGATTGAATGTTATCGATGAGTGATGAAATGGCCCAGTGGTGTAAGTTGGTGACGAGAAGTTGGTACCGCGAGTGCGCGGGTTTGAAACGCGGTGCTTGCATGTAATCTATATAATAATAGTACACTTTTGAAGCTCCTCAGCGTGTCTACGTCAGCAAGTTTGCGGGTCCCGCGCGTGTTATTAGGGAAAACAAAAACGTATAACATTTTGTAAGATTGAATGTTATCGATGAGTGATGAAATGGCCCAGTGGTGTAAGTTGGTGACGAGAAGCTGGTACCGCGAGTGCGCGGGTCCGAAGCGCAGTACTTGCATGTATATTTTTTTTATTGTTTGGGCTTTTCGGGATACCTAAAAGCTTAGGAGATTCAGAATGATTTTTTTTGCTGGTTGTTGGGATACAAAATGTCTTAAGGATTTGAAAATTTATGAGACCATCTTAGATACTTTTATAGGAAAGGTTATCATGTTCTAACCTCCTATATCATTTCAATTCAGTTATAATCATCAAATAAAATAAAAACATTTTTTTCAACAATAAATATTTATCCCAAACCATTCAGATCGGCCATAAATCTCATATACATCACAATTAAAAATATATATATATACAACATAATTTCAGAAAGAAAATTACACTAATAAACACATGTCCTTTTTTGTCTTGTCTCCATTAAATTATTTTTTACATGAAAGCACTAATAACAGTAATGCTCGATAAAATCACTACGAAGATAAAATATGAAAATATCAACCCATATGAATTCGATGTTTATTCTTTTATCAGACTAATCAAGTTGTGTGACTTCTAATGTTTCATTAATTTTTTTTTTTAATTTGAGCTTTTCGGGATCCCTAAAAGCTAGCTTAGGAAGATCCAGAATGATTTTTTATGCTGGTTGTTGGGATACAAAATGGCTTAAGGATTTGAAACTTTATAAGACCATCTTAGATACTTTTATAAGAAAGGTTATCATGTTCTAACCTCCTATATCATTTCAATTCAGTTATGATCATCAAAAAAAATAAAAACATATTTTTTCAATAATAAATCTTTACCCCGAACCATTCAGATCGGCCATAAATCTGATATACATCACAACTAAAAAAAAAATATATATATATATATATACAACATAATTTCAGAAAGAAAATTACACTAATAAACACATGTCATTTTTTTGTCTTGTCTCCATTAAATTATTTTTTTACATGAAAGCACTAATAACATTAATGTTCGATAAAATCACTAATACAGGAAATGCTCGATAAAATCTCTACGAAGATAAAATATGAAAATATCAACCCATATGAATTCGATGTTTATTCTTTTATCAGACTAATCAAGTTGCGTGACTTCTAATGTTTCATTCATCACTATTATAGATAATCCAGATAAACAAATGTTAAAAAAAACAGCAAAGTCTCATATATAAAACTACACAAAACATCAACAACGTATTCAATCTCCGCGCTTGCGCGGAGACTATGCATCTAGTATAATGAATGAAGTTCTTAAATTGAGTGAAAATGGAAGAATAATTTAAGTAATAAACTGTTGAAATAAAACTATGTTTATTTTGTATTTCAATTTTAATAATATGGATATATAAAACCCTATTTAGTTTTGTATTTAGTGTGATAATTTCAGAGCAGTGTCCACCCCTTGTAAAAAAAAAGACCAGAGCATATATACGGAGTTTGATGGGTTGTATATCTTTTGACCCTTAGTCAAAATTCAGGGCCCCACTTATATATACAACGCATTAGTTAGTGTTATAAAATGTTTACATAAATGCATATATGTGGAGTTTGATAGGTTATATATCTTTTTCACTACATTTTAGTTTGAATTTGAGACTTAAATTATAAACATAATCCAGTTTAGCTCTTTGTAAACATACTAAAATCTTATATGAAGATGTCATTTGAAAAAAAAAAAATTGCCTTTGGCCCAAAAACGTTTGCACGGCATTGGATATTTTGATTTATGGTTGATCAAGTTTGACACAAAAAAAAGTTTGACATAAAAAGAAAGTCGGACTCTTTATTATTGCACTGAAACATAAACAGTGATCCATAGTGATAGTAATTCACTTGGCCACCGTGGAACTATCCCCGTTGGATTATAGGAAAACAACACACGTACAAGTGATAATTTTGGGATTATCGTAAGCCCTATTTAGAGATGGATTTGGTTCTAGAGAAGGCCAAGATCTCGACTTGAAATTTGATGATATCATTGACGAGGTAACCTTTGTTCGGGTCTTTGAGATCTGCAAGAGGTATAAGGTTGTCGATACCCCATCCTTTTTCTTGTGCATTGGGCCATCCATCCACTGTAGGGACAAATCAAAAGTTAGGTTAACATCTTTCAAATAAGACTAATTATAAGGCTTTTATTTTGGTCACTAACCTTGTTTATCCACATTGTTGGATCCGGTCTGGTCAATAATTCTTAACTTGGCTTTCACATAACCATTTTCGTTTGACGCACTCAACAAGTAGAGTGACAAGGATTTACCCGTTGCAGACCCAACTCCATTTGGATAAACTTTTAATATCCTTTACACATACATCACATAAGTTAATACATACTTTATATATACACATTTACATATACGAGATTTTGATCCGCGCTTTAAAAACGCGATATTATTATGTCGTTTGAAAAAAAATGAAGCAATGCAAAATTTATTTATAGGAAAATATTATTGTTTCCTTATTAATAATCTATGATAAGTTTATATTTTTATTTATTTTATATTAAATTTGTGATAAGTTTAATATATTTTTGAATACTTAAAATTGGCACATCAGTATTATGTACAATATTATGTAGTAAATAATATTTAAAAAATAATGTATATATCATACATAAAATCAGAATTATTATCATTCACAAAAGTATAAAAATATTAGTTACCACAAGTATAGGGAATATTTAGTTGTTTAGTTTAAATAAGTATCTCCTATATATTAATTGAGAAGTATTACAACATGTATTGCTAAGCATATATTATATTTTTTTATTAGACTAATTATCAAAGTAATTAGTAGTGTATAAAATAATATTCTACATTATTTCTTGAAATAAAGGCTATGAAGTTACTTAATACGGTTAACATATATATATATATAACAATTAATAATTTTTGATAATAAAGATTTGATAATAATTTGTGCATCCTCCATTTTTATTAATTATATATTCCTAAAAGAAATTAAATAATAACACAAAACCATATAATAAAAAAATTATCTTTTTTCTTGTATGCTATATTTTAAATATTTCTAAATGACTATAAATTACAAAGACTATTAAACCCCCCCCCCCCATTTGTATTAAAATATACTATATGTCTATTTTAATTATGTACCATTTAAAGTAAATGAATGATTGTTTTGTTTTTTTTACTAACAAAAAATATTTTATGAATAAAAGAATGTTTTTTTTTGTTTGTGCTTACTCCATTTTAATCATATAAATAATAGTTACTTGATTCTATATTATTTAATATATTTATTATTGTATAATACATAAATGTACAAAAAGTAAATAATAATATATATAAATAATTATTGTTCATTCCGCGGATCTCAAATGTTATTTGATCATATTATTTCAGCATACAATTCTTTATACTAAAGTGGGATGGTGGACTGTAACATCCGGATAATATCATTAAGTCTAATCTGAATTAAATAACCTTAAAAAAAATTAGTACGACATGATACTCAATAACTTTATATAGTTGAACAATTAAAGTTAGTATTTAACAATTACTATTATATAAATTTGACTCCTGCACATGTGTCACGTGTGTGATCATAATCACCTAGTATTTATATTAAAATTAAATGCAAATGACATGGTTTTGTAAATAAATTCAAAAACCAAGGGAAGATTAATCCTACTAAGTATTATGGTTTAATAGTGTATATATATATATGTGGAGAGACTCACCAATTGCTTCCTCCGGAAGAAAACGTATCGGAAGAGTAAGAGCCATGATTGTGAGTGGAGAAGTCGGTGATTGTCCAATCGAGAATAGGGTCACGGATGTTTTCTTCATAAGTGACATCTTCCCATGTGGCAGATGGTTTAGCAACCACGATGTCAACACCAAACACACATTGTTCGCCGTTGAAAAGGTATCCATATGCCGGATTTGTGTAATACCCGATAGGACGAAACTCTAGCATTCCATACTGTTGTTTAAACAAATGAAATCTCTGTGCCTCAGTCGCTGCAAAACGATCAAAACAGGTTAAGAAAACACACAAAAGATTAAAACAAATGTATCATGAACCTCTCTCTCTCTCTCTAGGTAAAGTAGTACGTACCATGGAGCTCTTCGTACGTGTCTTTATCGCTTCTATAGGTGAGAAATTTGATCCACGCATACACTTCGTTTTGATAGGTGATGAGACTTGAGTTGTCGATTCTTACGTAAAGCGAAACGTATGTATTCTTGCCCTCTGGCTTGTCAGCGTTTGGGAAGATGAGGAACGTCCTTGTAACATATTAAGCAGAACGGGTCAAGTTATATATAGTTAAAACTTAAAATTGTGAAGAGATTTGCAGAAATGTGTTAAATTAAAATGTCACACATGTAACGGTGACGATTCTCAGCTAATTAAACCACACCCAACGTGTACTTACCAATTGTATCCACCAGCTGAGAAAGGACGTGACTCGTACTTGCCACTGTTATTTTTGACCAGGTTGGACATATTGGAAAATGACTCGAACTTCACAGTGTAGGAAAGTGGAGGACGAGTTCTCGTCGATTCACTTACTGATTGCGAGAGCTTGTGGTGATTCCCGGAGTGAAATGGAAGGATCCCTGATTTCTCCACGTCCAACAATCCATCTTCTATTACTGCTTCTGTCTCCATTAGGGTTTGAAGGTTATAATAAGGTTTTGCAAACCTTACCACCCCCACAACGAAAACAAAACAGAAGAAGCAGTAGACAAATACTGATACATTGCTGGTGTTTTTCTTTTTTTCCTCGGTAAACATGTTTTTTTTCTTTCTTTTCTTCAAGTGTATCTGTAACGGTTTATGTGGTGTGTATATATAGTCATAAATTATTGTACTTGATCCATTAATATATGTCACGAATTCACACGTTTGTAGTATTTTATTGCCATATTTTGTCTAAAAATACTATCAAATCGTGTAAGATAGTGACACTTGCGTATTCACGAGTTGTTGGAACGTACTCTCCTATTATCTTTTCTTTTTCGAAAGTTGGGTCCACTTTTAGATGCGGTTTCGGCGCTGGCACGTATTTATATGAGAAAAAGGACGTTTTTGAATATGAAAGAGGAGTTTATCTAAGTTACAAAAAAAAAGAGTTGATTAAGAGTAGCTATATACAGAGATCGTGAGAGAGCACAAGGAAATAGTATATAGTATATACTGCATTTCCTAAGTTACAGAAAAGAAGATGAGTTTATTGATAGCTGTAGGCTATATACAGAGATCGTGAGAGAGTACAAGGAAATAGTATATACTGCATTTACAGAGCAGTTCATGTAAACTCAATCAAGAGGATTGTGTGTATATTATCACATGATCCCTCAGATGAGAAACACTTCTCGTTATAAATGATAATATATTGTAAACATGCAATGCAACTTCTCACTGACATTATATTAAATTATTATTTGCGTTAGTTTCTTTCAAATGTTTTGATCATAAATAATGTTGTGATGATCTCGGTCATACAAAAGTTAAGATGTTGGTTTAGTTATTTGAATATCAAGTTGCTTTTGAAGAAAACAACATCACCAAAACAAAAACCTATCACTAAGTTGGATTCTTTTGTCTAGGTACTTTTGAAATATCTTCTTAGTTAATATGTTAATCCTAATTTGGCGAGAGGTAAGATATTTCGTTCGTTTTTTTGGTCCAACTTGAATGTGTCCACACTGATCCTATTTGTCTAACTGGAACTTAAATAAGAGACTTTTTCAGAGAAAAGAAAATAATGCGGAGTAGTATTACTGGTAACTAGAGCAGAGTAGTATTACTAGTAATTAAAGCAGAATAGTGTTACATTAACACACATTAACGTTACGTTATTTTAGCAGAACTTGTTCTCTGCATACACACACCATTGGTCATATGAGGCTTGAGTTATCAGTTATGGATCCTAGTATTCGTTCACCTCATTTTGTTTGTTTTAAGTCGGTGAATTACAAGCGACTTTAGAGCATTTTTCTTGCAAGGATCTCAACAATTTTCTTAAAAAATGTTTAGACAGGAATACTAATATAATAGCAGTGGAACAACTGCAAACCTACAACTTTAAGACTACTATTTCATGGGTTTTGTAAGATACATCAGAACCCAGTTCCCTTCTATCATCTCTTCAAGCTACATATATTGTTTCTCCCTCTCACAGTGACCTTTACTGTAGTCATTTTTATATCAAATCCTATCCAGCTTGGTATATTTAGTGTGTTATTTTGATCAAGTTTGACATAGATAAAAACTCGGACTCATTGTTATTGCCCTGTTGTCATTGCTAAATATCAAGTTCTTCATATCGTTAAGCCTTGTTGTCTTCTTATAGTATGAATTCATGTGAATGAGAACCAAACACCGTGCCGTTTTACTCTTTAAAATATGAAAATATATATACGAAAAACGTTATTTGATTTTTTTTTTTAGATTCTCTGCACACACAGAAAAAGATGTTGTGAAACTTTAATACACATTGTTCACTTCATAGTCTCTCATACAATGGTTTGGAAACAATAGACTGTATCAACCTCGATGGTGTAATCAAGTGTAGCAGATGGAGGGATCTGCAAACCCTGTCCGAATTCGACATTCTTATCTCCAAACCCTAAGGATGGTGGGATGATCACTCTGCGTTTACCTCCAGCCTTCATTGACCTCAAAATATACTCAATCCCTTGGCATAGTCCCATGCTATATGGTCTTGAGTCCATTACCATTGCAAGTGACTTCTTCTTGTTGTCTTTGCTTCCAAATGTGTCGACAAACACTTGTTCTGTTCCATGTACTTGTCCCTTTACATCAAATATAACCAAGTATCCTGGACTTGGAGTAGCTCCACTTCCAACTTGGAGATCATAGTACCTGTCACGGTTCAAATATTCCGTAGACGATCTCTTGTGGGCTTTTGAACTGATGAAACATAATCAATATACGTTATGAGAAAATGTACCTTATGCCATTTGGTAAGACGATCTCTTCTTGCTTCACTAAAACTCTGCAAGATCCAGAAATTACAAAAGGACATTTTCAAGTGAATGATTCCAAAACTAATAGGCATTCAAGAACAAATATACCCTAATTCCTTTCTAACTATCTTTGCTTGAACTGCAAGCAAATACTTTATGTTCTGTCTCAGAAAGACTTTGATGTACACAATTCGGACCTTGTGCTATTGTCTTCCTGGAACACATGGAGTCGTGACTTCATCTGCTCGGAGACAGCTCCGAAAGCTAGAAATCCCGCCCAGGCAAATCCGGCACCGATACCGAACCGTCGCGTCACCGGAGAAGCCACCCAATCCGTCATCTGCTGCTGCTGCAATGCGACCGCCGCCGCCGGTGCAGGATTCTCCGTGAAGGAGACGCTTAGCGGCTGAGGTGGAAGGTTCTGTTTCGGATGTTGGGGAGGAGATACGTAACGGTGGTGCGAAGGAGCCGTCGTCGCAGTGTAGAGAGTCGTCATTTTCCAGAGGATTTTCAATAGCAATTCTAGAAAAAATTATTAAATTTATATATCTCTGAATAATGAAACAGTGACCTTATCTTGTTTGTGTGATGCATGATGACTTCAACAAGACTGAGTTTGAGTCACATGTCTTAATGATTTAATCTCGTTTATTTAATAACAAATCAACGAGATTACAATGGTCTATCGTTAGTCCGATAATTCTTTTTTATTTTCGTTCATTCATTTTACAGTTTTAGTTTTGTAAAACAATTAGAAGCATTTAATCACTTGACTGAAGACATATCTCATTGATCTTTTGACATGAATATAGCACATATGTTGAGCTGACTAAAAACAATGGAACGGATATCCTGTGATAAAATGGGCCTTATCTTTTAGCATGTGAACGCCTAACAGTGTCACAATCAGGATACCGGTTTAACCAACCCTCCATTGTAAACCAAAACTAAACCGATTTGGTCAACAATTTATTTTGTCCTTTCTTCTGCTCGTGCGCGCGGTCTCTCTGTCTCCCAGTCTATTTTTGTCTCTTTTGCAGATCAACTGAAAATAAATAAATGTTTAAAAAAAAACGGAAAATAAAATACTACTTAGGAGAGAAGACGAAGAAGATGCTTTCAACTCCTCGAAAGAAACGGCGAATAATGTGTAGTAACCATTGACGAAGAAACGCTTGGCTGAGAGTAAACTCTGAGAGTCTGTAAACTATTATTAGCCTTCTTGATCAATGGGTGGTGGTGGTGGCAATCTCGTTGACGGTCTTCTTCGTTGGCTTTTCTTCCAGCGTCGTCCTTCTTCCTCCAATACTCACGATCCCGATAACTTAGTCGACCACGGTGATTCAAATAACCCTAATGATATTGTAGCTTTCGATCAGTCTAAGCTAAATCTAATCAAAGTTCCAAAACGAGACCATTCTCCCATGGATGCTCAAAAGAAGGTAAATGAACCGAACCAAATCTGATCCGAAAAGACCTGAATCTGATCCAAACTGTTTAAAAGAATACCTGAAATGGGACCCAAGGGTTAGGCATTGAGATATTGGTTATAATCTGAACCGAACCGAAATTTATCTAGTTTTATACTTTTTTGTTATTCTGAATACTGGTTTAGGTAGTTTTTGTTTTGTGCACTGTTTAGGTAGTTTGGTTAGTTTTTTTTAGAGGAGTTTTGAATAATTTGGTTTTTTTTTTCCTAATTTCAGTAGTTTTTTCTATGTGATTTCATTCATTGGTTAGAACCCGGCCAAAAATTAGAAAAACTCGAAAGGAACTTATGAGCATTGTCCGAAATAAAAATTTGAAAATCTGACCGGAGCCCGAACTCCCAGGCCTAGTTTGTGTTTTACTGATGGTTTGAATCTGACTTGACATTGGATCATCAGGCTATACCTAATGCTGACTTCTTCACTGAGTATGGAGAAGCAAACAGGTATGAGATCCAACAAGTAGTTGGCAAAGGAAGCTATGGAGTTGTTGGTTCTGCTATTGACACCCACACTGGAGAAAGAGTTGCTATCAAAAAGATCAACGATGTCTTTGACCACATCTCTGACGCTACTAGGATCTTGAGGGAGATCAAGTTGCTACGACTGCTTCTTCACCCTGACGTTGTGCAGATTAAACACATCATGCTCCCTCCTTCCAGAAGAGAGTTTCGTGATGTTTATGTGGTTTTCGAGTTGATGGAGTCTGATCTTCATCAGGTGATTAAAGCTAATGATGATTTAACTCCTGAGCATCATCGGTTTTTCTTGTACCAGCTTCTCCGTGGTTTGAAGTATGTTCATGCTGGTTAGTTTCTGCTTTTTTACACTATCCTCTCACTTGTGGTTTGTCTTAATAAGATGATTTTGAACAGTTACGTCTCTGTTTTTCAGCGAATGTATTTCATAGGGATCTGAAACCAAGGAACATTCTAGCTAATGCTGATTGCAAGTTGAAGATATGTGACTTTGGACTGGCTCGTGTATCTTTTGATGATGCTCCGTCTGCTATCTTTTGGACTGTGAGTCATCTATACACAAAGTTTGTTTCCTTTAGACTTGTGTTGCATAAGGTAGCATTCACTTTTGCACCCATACTTACTATCTGTTTATTTTTTGTATAGGATTATGTTGCTACTCGGTGGTATCGTGCCCCTGAGCTCTGTGGATCTTTCTTCTCCAAAGTAAGCCTTATAACTGTTTTCTCCATTTCATGTCACTGATGTAGGTATGCTTGTATTACTACTATGTTTGTGTTTTTTCATCCACCAGCCTCTCTTCATCCCTCAGTCAAACCTTCTGCTTGAACTTGCTTTACTTTTTTTGTTAAATATTGTCTCACATATGCACGTTTTTGTATTAGAATATAATGTATGCCTTTTGAGTCAATGGCCTCCTCGTGTTCACTATCTACATGCATGCATGGTAAGACGTAATTAGAGATCTCATGCTAACTAACTCTACTTTTGTTAAAATCCAGTACACCCCTGCGATTGATATTTGGAGCGTTGGTTGCATATTCGCTGAAATGCTTTTAGGGAAGCCATTGTTTCCTGGAAAAAATGTAGTTCATCAATTGGATCTTATGACCGATTTTCTTGGCACTCCACCTCCTGAGGCAATATCCAAGGTCAGTTATACTATGATCGTTTTGGAACTTTTATTGATAGTTCATTTTTCTTGTGTAGAAGTTTTTTTTTTCTATCCATTAGTTGAAAAACTATTTCATCAAAAATGTTTCCTCTATGAAGGTAAATCTTAATTCGATCTTCATATTTAACAGATCAGGAATGATAAGGCGAGGAGATATCTTGGCAACATGAGGAAGAAACAGGCTGTCCCATTCTCTAAAAAATTCCCTAAAGCTGATCCTTCTGCCCTACGCCTGTTGCAACGCCTGATTGCCTTTGATCCAAAAGATCGTCCATCCGCCGCAGAAGTAAGCTGTAAGCAAATAGTATTTGCATAATCATTTAAATGTGACTGTTGTACCAGCAGCACACATTGATGCAGAAACTTGAAGCTTATGAAATTTTTTTTTAAAAAAAAAAAAAATTATATGCTCACTATTTTGTCTTTTTCATGTATTTTGCAGGCACTTGCTGATCCGTATTTTAATGGTATTTCAAGTTCAGAGAGGGAACCATCAACACAGCCGATTTCAAAGCTTGAATTTGAGTTTGAGAGAAAGAAGTTAACAAAAGATGATATCAGAGAGTTAATCTACAGAGAGGTTTTGAGCCTTCTACATTCTCTTCTTTGGTTTTGATTCTCCCTCTAAATGATGCTAATGGGATAGTTATTTGGGGGGAATAAAAACATAGATACTGGAGTATCATCCTCAGATGCAGGAGGAATACCTTCGTGGCGGCAATGAGCTCAGCTTCATGTACCCTAGGTTAGCCAATTGATCCTTAAATTAACCGACTAAAAAGTGTATATAATTTAGAAGCTAATATGAAAGAGAACTATCCCAATATGTGGAATATCAAGCTAATAACATTCCTCTTGTATTTACAGTGGTGTAGATAGGTTTAGGAGGCAGTTTGCTCATCTTGAAGAAAATCAAGGGCAGAGTGGACGAAGTACCGCGCTTCAGAGACACCATGCTTCTTTACCAAGGTACAAATAAAACAAACGTTACAAACTATTGTCTCTGCATCAACTAGTCTTTTAGATATATTGATTTGCTTGTATTGCATTATCAGAGAGAGAGTTCCTGTACCCAAAAATGAGACAGTAGAAGAAAGCAGCAACGATATTGAGAGAAGAACATCAGCTGTTGTAGCATCAACCTTAGATAGTAGTCCCAAAGCTTCACAACAACCTGAAGGTGCAGACGATGAAGGAGGATACAGTGCACGTAACCTGATGAAAAGTGCTAGCATCAGTGGTTCTAAATGTATAGGTGTCCAATCTAAAACCAACATTGAGGTATCAAAAACCGCATTTCTTTATATGAAAATAATTTTGTTCTTCGGTGACTGAAATATTTGTAAACACTCTTCTTTGTGGAATAAATGTGAAGTGTTTGTTTTATATTTCAGGACGCCATAGCAGAGGAACAAGATGAGATAGTTGCAGAGGTGGTTGAGAAAGTTGCATCTATACACAATACTTAGTTTTTTTTTTTATTTCTTCTTATACAGAGTTGTAGAAGCAAATGTGTGGTTTCTCACTCTCATTCAGAATTTGAGTTTGATTGTTGTAGCATGAAAGTATAATTTAATAAATCAAGTTATCTTCTTAGATTATTCTGTTAGTAATTTTTAGAATACACTGATGGTTTACATATGGATAATTCCATCAGAAACCTATGTTTGACATTTGATATTTGAGTCACATTTTCACATCCACCACAAGACCTAACAGTTCTATATTCACTACATTACATCATAAATGACGGTGAACTGGACTGAAATTCGAACACCAAACTTAATGAAAACACATCAATGAACTATTTTCAAACCATTAAATTAAGGATTTCCACTAAAATTTGGGTAATATTTGAGCATGGAAATGATCACAAAAAAAACAAACAAAAGGAAAGAAAAGAAAATAAACTGTTGAAAAATGTAGTGAGATTGGGGTAGATGTTTTTATTAAGCAAACATACTAGTGAGTACGTAATGAGTAATGGCTAAACATCTTTTACTCTCATATGATTTACTCATACGTACGATCTTACTCAATCCCAAGTCCCTCACCCAAAAAGATTGACCAATGAACTAACCACGTGACACATACGCCACGTGACATCTAAGGGCTTATGGCGTGGACCGAAGGTACAAAGGAAGCCAATTGGTTGGGTCAGGATCTGAGCTCCAGACCGAGAAAACGCTCGTACATCGCTCGCATCCACTTGTACGTTAAGCTCGGGAAGTGTCGGTCTATTACATCCTTTACACTCTCTGTTGTATTAACCCACTCTAGCCCTTCTTTGGTATACGTCTTCTCGTTAAAGTTCGTCGTGAAAGGAGAGGAACATTTACCCATATATTTGAAATATTAAGGGGGCAAACTTAACCATTTTCATGAAAATTTGTTATCAATTATAAAGAAAAACTATTTTTATAAAAATTCATATGGGCAGATGTCCCACACTTGTTGGCTGTACATCCGCCACTGCTTCTAACCTCCTAATCGTAGTTAATCAAACCAAGTCAGTTTAGTTACTTGTCACGCAAGAGAATCTTTGTTTTAAAAAACGAAAAATAGATTATAAACCTGTAGGTAACGAGGAAGATGATGAAAAAAGCAGTTTCACTAATGGGAAATTCTTTGATCTTCTTTTCTGCGTGCAGTTCCACGCTTAGGTCAAGCTTGTCTATAACCCCTCCGTACACTTCCTTTAAAACCTTGATAGCTTCTTCATCATCTGTTAGATCTTCCCAGTTGCTGATTGGACTCATCAGTAGATTCTTTCTGAACTCGTTGTATCGAGGAACTCCTCTCTCCCGATCTCTATAAAGTTATGAAAAGAATCAAATCAATAAATATAGAAGAACAAGAAGAAGCATTGATGTGAGTTGACTTACTTTCCAAGGCAGCCAAGTCTATCTTCTCCATCAATATCTTGAGCCACAAGATTCCTCATCCAATTAGGGTAATTCCACAATGTCAATGCACCACAAGATTGGTGTCTCATTGAAACTAGCAACTGCTCAAACCTGATTCTTGAAGTCCCTTTTCCTTCTTCTTTCCCTATCAATTCAGTCATCGGTAACCTGAAAAAAACATCTTTCTAGGTTAATAAAACTGCACTTGGACCGGTCTTAACAGTGTAACAAAACGTTATAAGTGTCTTACTCTCGTTCTATTGCAGGGTTTCTTTGTCTATATGTTCTTAGTTCTCATATCTCGGAGAAGAAGTGTGTCTGGTAGAAGACAATGCATCCTGTAGACACTAACGAACTCTTCGGTTAGCGAATAAGGAACTCCATGATCTCTCGGCTCCTTCATACCAACTAATCCGCTAAGTATTTGTTATGGAATAAAGTTTTTGTTTGTTATAAAGTTTTTTTCTTTGCATGATTAGTAATATATCTTTTGCATGATTATTAATATGTTTCAACCACTAGTGAGTAGAAATAAGCAAAAGTAAATGTGTCACAACATTTGGTTCTACTGTTTCATTGCGCTATTATCGATTCTCTATATTTACAATTTGATAAAAACTACAAACACTTAACTTATCTGAAACTAATTTGCATGTTATGTGAATGTTATTGTGGATATAAATAAAGGTAAAAAAACTTACACCGTACTGAGAAGTACATGGAGGCATATTCCGGCCAATAAAGGAGCCTTGGCTACCGACGGACTCATCGGAGGGATGGTCACACTTGCCATCAGCCGTACGATAAGAGAACTCATCGGTGTCGTAACCCTGGCCATTGACACCACCAACGTGTACCAGATTGTAACGTTGATGTAAATGTCTTCCTATCCCCTAGTAAGCTAATCCCAATAACACTGGAAATCTATGCCATAATCCTAGCTTGTCCACTAAGTGCACAATCTATATATATAATTAAACGACAAACCCAAATTAATTATAAAAAAAGTGTTCAACAAACAAATAGGTTACTGATTTGATAGTTTTCTAGAAGATAAAAAATAATTGTTGTAGGATTATATGAGGAATCATAGAGATGTACTTACATAGAACAAAAAGGAATCAAAGAAAGACATCTTGGAAACAACATGATGCAGCTTAGGATCAAGAAGCCGGGAAGAAGATGGAGAGATTCCCATTTATTTTGTGTTTGATTTATGTGTCTGCTTTATGGATTAAAAATGATAGTCGCACACATTGTCTAATGTAAGATGAATTTTGATTATTTGTTTTTTTTTTTTTAATTTAATTATTGTCACTTTATTAACGACTGGTCGTTCGAGCATGTCTTGACTGGAGAGTGACTGGCTGGAGATATTTGATAAAGATTCTTTTACTCAGTCCAACAATATTGAATGATTTATACAAAAAGAGAAAAGTATCTACAAATACACTATTGTTGACAAAAAATCTACAAACACACTATTTTATATTAGTAGTAACAGTGTATTATCTTGGTCAAACTTTTGATATTCATCCTTTCTTATCTCGCACTACTAACATAATTTCTACATCTGAAAAAGAGAGAATTTTACTCGTCTTCTTCTTCTTAAGAAAAACATATCACTCGCTGCTATAGGGCCAGCCATGGTCAAATCATGCATCATTGTTTAAATCATATAAAAATAGTAATGTAATTTTTATATATCATTTCTCATTTGATCAATCTTCCTGACTTTACATTATTATAATTAATCGTAAAAAACAGAAGCCAATATTTTTTTCATATTAATAGTGCTATAACTTGTATCATAGATTCATAGTTAAGTCATGCATTATTGATACTACAATAGTTAGCAAATGTATCAGGCCAAGTGGGAACTTTAAACATTTAGCAGAATCAATGTATAGAAAATACTACTTTAACATAGGGTATATTAGTTCATAAAAATAAGATATGCTATACTTTACCACAACATTGATGTATTTAAAATAGTTTAATTATTTAATCTAAACATTCAGTAACGACCAATGGCCCATACTCTACGCACACCGTTCGTATACCCACTGAACAGTGTGCTTCCGGCTGCATTCCAGTACAAGCTGGTGTAGTAAATTATAACCTGTCGTAACCAACTAACCAAGCCCCATAATGTCAGCATTATAGATCGGCGTTGGCCGTGAGTTCTTAGCCATGCATGAAGTAAAGTATTTCTTTGGTGAGAGAATTAGAAAACAAACAAGGGATTGATATCTGGGCCTTAATGTGCGCCTTTGTTATGGGCAAGAATTTAACTTGCGTAGGTCAATATGTTATACAGGAGTTAAAAAATAAAGAAACACATCTTGGAAACATAATGATGATGAATGAAGCTCAGGATAAACATCTGTGAGGGATAAAACTCACTTCCTAGTTTAGATTAGGTATAGATTGGGAAAAGATAATCGTGGGCTGAATCCTGTTAAAACTTGTACGAATGAATACGTTGTTTATATTGATTTTGATGATAAAAGAGTTTACAAGGATGATCTTGACGATCTAATAGAAAGAACAATGATTGATCGAAAGTGATTAAGAACAAAGTGTATTAGAGTCTTTTTATGTTGAATAGGTCGAATCCCCTCTCTCTGATCTCTTCTCTTCTTTATATAGCACTAGGTCACGTCCAACTTCTTCCGGCGAAGCCTCCGTGATTATCTCCGTGAGTTGCGGGATTTGTAACAGCTTCCCCTTGACTAAGTCTTGCACGTTTCTATCTCTGTTACCTAGGCTGTTTTGTCAGGTCCCTACGAAAGAATCCAGACCTGTTCTCCGTGACCTCTTTCTCGTGACCTCTTTCTCGAGATCAGCTCCCTTCCTTAGGTGAGCTGTATTCTTTTTTGCGGTATTAACCCATGTCCGGCCCATTATTGGGCTTGGTTTAACTAATTCGCTAACTTCAGCTGACGGGCCATATTTGGGCCCAACAACATCCTACATCTACATATACTCATTTAAGCTCCTACTTTTTAGTATGAATGTACGATAAAACATGGGCAACTTGCCATTGTCAATTTTCATTATTCACTATCTTTTTTTTCATATACTACAAATTCATTTTTGGGTATTTTCAACGTCATAGAAAGTTATGTGTGCTTGACGTTTTGTGTTTGACATAAACAAGTTAAGTATGCGGAAAAGGTTTTATCCGAAGGTTTAATCCGCACATACTAAAGGTTTCAACAATATTTTAGTTTTTTTTTTGTTTAGTTGAATGGAAAGGACTCGAGTGTAAGATCTTTAGGTATGGTCAAGCACTCGCTAAAGAACATCCATTGTGCCGTTGAGACTTGCATGTAATGTACATTTTTAAAGTTAACCCGTGGACCTTATCATGTACAATTATTTTTCGTGAAATTACAGAGAAAAATAAGCGCACAAACGAAATATACATGACTTCAATTAACTCAAAGATACTGTTCCACCATTGCTGTTCCTCACATTCAACCATTGAACTGTACCTAGAGGGGACTAATTATTTTTCATTAAAATTGATTTCTTATGTTAATCTATTTTTTTCTTTATAAATTTTTCTAATGTATTTACTCCCGTTTCAATAAAATACATGTTTTAGATAAAAAAATTGTTTCTAAAAAATCCATATTTCACATTTTTTAAAGTACTAGTTAATATTAAATTGTAAATTTTAAAATATTTCTTTAAATTCCATTTCGTTAAAAATTATGAAAAATATTATATTACAAAAATTAATACATTGATAATTTAAAATTTATTAGTCTTCTTAATATATATGTGAAAATAATAAAACATACATCATACTGAAATATCATATTGAAACAGAGAAGTAGTATTTTGAAGTTTTACACACAGTTCACAGAAATAGAAAATGATCTGACAAATAATTTCTGAAAAAAATAAAGGAATACTTATGATTATTTTGGAAATAATTAGAATACTAAGATTAAACAAGGAATAGAAATTCATTAAGGCATTGCATTTGCTAACAAATAACGAAAATTTGAAGAAAATATAAATATCGCTTATACCGAAGCATTCACACATAAAACTCTAAAACTTAATTACGTACAAGCAAGCAAATCAATTTAAAATCACAGTACATACTGTTTAAGAATCCAAACATCATCATAACAAAAATACTCTATCAGATGAATCCTTGTATGTAAAAAAAAAAATCTCAGAATCAACACATTTAGCATAGAGAAACAAACTTAGACAAGTTGAAAGAAGATGTAGAGCTCCCTTCAATCCAAAGAAGAGTAAAAGCAATTAAAGGGCAAGTTAAAGCTCCTAAGATATGCAAGCCATATAACCAAATCCATTTTCAATACAAGGATTAGGGCTTATGGGATCCATAGCTTAGCAGCTTTTCTTTACCCCGCTAAACTCTCGTTTGAACCATAAGGAGCCCTACTTCCAGTCTTTCATTGTTCTCAAGGAAATCATTTGAAAGGCCAAGATCTATCGAGAAGCAAAGATGCTTGTCAAATCAAGAACCATCTAAGATGTAGATCTCAAACCAAGAACCGTAAAATATAGATCTGAACTGAGAAACTACGGAGACCGAGGAAACCTTACAATACATGATCTAAACTATACAACTATAAGTCTAACAAAAGAAAGAATCATAGAAATCAAAGATGAAGAACCCTAACAAACTCTAATCAGATTTAGAGAGAAGGAGAGAAAAGGAAGACAAGTCAAAGTTTAGGAAGAAGTGTTGGATAGAGTGTTGTAGTTATAGTAGAAAAATATTACATTGAAGGTCAGTTTTTTGTTTTAATAACACTCTAGATATTCGTTATAGTAGACAAAAATATTAATAAAATGAAAATGTGAACAAGAAAATAAACAGGTGGGAGCATCTGAAAAGACATGGGAAGGGACTGACATTGTTTAGTGTTTAGATCCCCTACGCGTCACATGCGTCTCTCTTGGCTTTTGTGCTCCTCTCTTCTTTTAAGATTTTATCATTTTACCATAAATTGTTGTTCGTTCCAACCACTAGTCCACTGTCCACTACATTTGCAAGACCTAACTTTAAAATTGTACTATTACGCCAACCAAATTTGTTTTCGTTGTCTAAACGGAATCCTTAACCCTAATAACTTCCAAATTTAAAACACGAGATACTGATGAAATAGTTTGATGTGCGGCCATGATGATGTGGGCGTGAAAGCAGCGGATTATTACCCCTACATGAGAATCTATGGCTAGATTTATTACAAGGAACTTGTCGTACTATTACCTCACAACAAGTCTGGTCTCTATCACAATTCATGCCGACGTTTTTAAACTTTTTACTTTTACTTTTTAGTACCCGCCGACGTTTTAACTTATTTTAAACTTTGTACCCACCGTGTAAATAGATTGAGTTTGGTAAAATGTAGCCATATTGGTACAAGGAAAATACTTACATGCAAATTCCAAAATCTATTTTATATGTTTCTGGTTAAAATACAAATAAAAACACTCAAACGTTAAGCACATAAGCAAGGATACCTAAGGCTAATTATTTCATCGTGCAAACATGGTCCCAAATGATGCTTAGGCCGTTCTTATAGGGTTGAATACTTGAGCCTTATCGTTCCATTTAGTAATGGGCCTACTTTTTACTCTTATAACCTCAAGGGAATTGTCATTTGGGTCTTATTGGCCTAGCCCCTGACTTAAAAGCATATACTGACTATTTGTCTCATAAAGAACTCTAGAAGAATCAAATACTCAATTCATTATTAACGTTAAAGGTTATGCTCGTTAGCAAATCCATTGGTTTTCTTCATTTTGGAATTGATTGTTCGACATTATCATTTTGGTCAT